GGAAAAACTAACTAGTTCTGAAGTCAACATTTACTGTCCACATAGGTCTTCAGTGGAGGTTTGAGGATGTCTTCAAGCAGAGCAATATCTCATCTCCTCTTACTTTGCATCTATTTCTAGCCTTGGTAACCTGTTTGTAGTGCAGATACACACAGTAGCTAATGTACAGAGATCCTCACCATTACTTGAGATGTGCTTGTAAAAACAAGAGATGTACCTTGTCCCTCGCCTTACCAGTGCATGTCTTCTGGTCCTCTTCAAGCCGATAGCCAAAGTTACAGGTACAGACCGGGCCAGAGCTGGTGTGGTGGCACGTATGGGAGCAGCCACCATTGTTGGCTTCACAGCTGTTCACAATCTCCATTTCTATCCCTGGAAAAGGCACACTGGTTAGGATGCTGCAGTGTGTGCTGCAGATCTGGACACATTGGCTGGTCCATGCTGGCAGTTTCCAGCCAGGCACAGGCACTTTTGTGTGCACAGCCCTGCTGAGAAGTGATCTGCAGTGGGAAAGGATGAAAATAGCTTTGTACAAAGGCCACTGCTGGGCTGGGAAGTGATGTATAAAAATAAACTGATGGATCCCAGGCAATGCACCATGTAGTCTCTTAGGGACAGACTGTGGAGGAGGCTCTGGACAATCTCTGAGATGAACCAGGCTGCAGATAAAACTGCTCCCATTCCTGACAAGCTGCAGGATGTGCTGCCAACCAAAAGTTGGCTCAGTCTTGGTATGTACAGAGCTGTTCTGATGCCAGCTAGAAATGGGAGCAGCAGAATACAGCTAACCATGGAAACATCCAGATGCCTGCAGCTAGAAACGTTAGTTACTGACACGTCAAAAATGGTGGGTGCAAACATCAACAGCAGCCATCTATCTTCATGGCTTGGTGAAGTTTATGTAAATTTCAGTCTAGCTAATTAAGCTTTCTTAAACTAAAAGGAACTTGTACCATGGAGCTTTGACTCAGTTCTGAACCTCTGGAAAGTAATTTCTGCCTTCAAAAACATTTTTGAGTTTTTAGTGGGTTCAGACCCAAGGAAGATGAAAGAAGGGGAGCTTGATGCTTCCCAATGGATCTGTGTGTGTCAAAACCAAAAGCTGTGCCATGGTGGAAGACTCTCTTCCTGATTTCACAACATGAATATAGTCCCTCTGTCTTTCCTTTTCTTATTAATGCAAGAACAACCTGGGGTTTGCATGAAAGAAATGTGTGAGAAGGGGCAGGGAGAAACACTTTTCATACAAGAGGGCAACTTAATTCTATAGTTGGCACCAAAGCAGAGCTATTGTCAATGGTCATGGCAATGAGTCCCAACAACTGGAGGAGCCTTGTCAGAACATGAGTGGGGCTTGTGCTACCACTGGCCCTGCTGTTAAAAGTGACCCTCCAGGGCTGGCACCTCTTACCAGGGGCTTTCCTGGAAAACCAAGACTTGAGCAGCAATAAAACTCAGCTTTTTGTCACCTGTGGCCCAGTTAGCTGAAGCCACAAGGGGTAATCACAGTGCTAGGTGAGGAGGTAGCTAAGATTTATTTGGCATAGACCTGGCTTCTTATCCCAACCCTCTGCAAGCCTTGCTGGCTATCATACATCTTCACCCCAACAGCTGAAGGTAAATGTTTAGTTGCACAAGAACCTCAGCTCTGGGATATTTTTCACAAAATATGCAGTGTGAGATAAACTACGTCCCTAGGAAGAAAGGTGTGTATGTGCTTAGGCTCTTAAACAGCACATCATCAGTCTAGTTCTTCACATTGCTCTCAGCCTGATGTCTTTCAAGACCCACTTATGGTTTGCAAAGCCTTACCCTCATACCCCTGGAAGGCTCCCAGCAGCAGCTGCACAGGTGGAGCACCACAGCTTCCAGTAACACCAGCTGCCAGTGCTGGGACTGCCATGGTGGCTTTCATCTGTAAGGGGGCTGCTAGTGGTTCATGCTGCTAGCTCTGCTTTGGACTATCCCTGCTGACATGTGTTAGCTGGACAAAGACCTATGGACAATCTGGCTCATTCTTGCATAAGAGTGTTTATTTCTTTTCTTGATGAAAGCAGATGTGATCACTTCACTAGCTCAATTCCTTCTTCAGTTACACATCTGCAGCTGACTGAACTCATCCAACAAAGTCCCCAAGAGCAGAACTTGGCCTATTTGCAGCCAAATGGCTCCAAATGAATTGCCTAAACCAGCACAAGTAGTTTCATGGTAACTTTAAAGATCAGACAAAGTTTTTTATCTTGGTGGGAGAGCAAACAGCTCCAAACCTGCTTATGAAATTCTTCAGAAGAGACTGCTATAGCTTGGCCCCACCAATTCACAGAGGACAGTGCACAAACACTTGCCTACAGAAGCAAACCCCCGTCGTGTCCCCACAGTACTCACGATAGCATTGCTTGCCATCTGCTCCCAGCTCGTAGCCTGGGTTACAGGTACACTTAAAGGAGCCACGAGTGTTGAGACACTGGTGTGCACAAATGGCCAGTCCAGTCAGACATTCATTCACATCTGCAAGGGATGATAATCAATAATCAATAGGCAAAGCAGGTTGAGCTATAGACATTCTTTCAAAGGGACAGCTGTTACTATCTTCAAGTTTTTTAGTGGTTTCTTGGACCCTGAGTTCTTCACTGGGGTCCAGACCAACAGAGAAACAGAGTTCAGAGTGACTGTAAAGCTTCCTAGGAAACTGGATCCCATAAAACCTGAGCGTTGGTCCAGACAGCCTGAGCAGAGCTCTTGGACAGACGTCAACTGAGCGCTGTCATGTCACCCCTCTGCACGGCTTGTGCGTCACCCCATTAAATTCACAAACAAGGATAGTTACCGAGAGTCAGCACCACTTCACCCCATGGACACAGTTATTTTTCTCCATGAAAGCTCTGTCACAGGCCACTTACCTTCACAGGCCCTGTTGTCAGGTCCCAGCCGGTAGCCAGGGTGGCACTCGCAGCGGGCTACTCCACCGTGGTTGTGGCACTGGTGCATGCAGCCCCCGTTCCTGTCGGCACAGGGGTTCCTCACTGCAGGTCAAAGCAGAAGAGACAGGTTTATTTCATACTCACCCTATCTCTTATGGGCATCATGCTGGTGGGAGAACAGGGCATCAAGCAGTTATGCCTAACAACAACATCTGCAAGCCATGAAAGAGCATTCTCCAGCAGAGAGAAAATCCCTGCTACTGCTCCGTCCAGGCAGGAGGATTCACACAGTGAGAGATCCTGCAAAAGGCACTAATCTGAGTAAAACCTTTTCTGCACGGGCATGTCCCTCTGCAGAGACGCCAGAGCAAGCACTAGGCAGATCTGCTTCAAGTGCTCCTACCAAGAGGTTTGCTAATCTCTGACCTGCTCCAGGGCATGGACAGATGCTACAAAACCCTCCCAACTGCTGCATTTTTAATACCTGAGTTGTTCCTTTTCCCTTAGCAACTTCACAGCTAAACACTTCCCTCCTCCTACTTCTTGAATGCCAACTGCTATGAATGAAGAGATGAAACTTCTGCTCTACATCCCCTTCAGCTTCTCTCCCTCCTGCAGCCAGGAGCAGCTCAGCCAGAAAGCTGTCTGCAGACAGAGGGAGCAGATCCCAACGTGCTGCTGTTCCTTCACTTTCTCGGAAGTGTGTGCCTTCATATAATTTCATTGTTGTTGGCTGCTCTCCTCCAGCTCTTCCCAGCCTTTCAGAACAAGGTGCAGAATATGTCCATGACAATATAACACGCAGAGTGTTCACTGGAGAGGAACTGCCTGGTCTGATCTATTTGACATCTGAGCAGGCAAGTGGATGCTCTTTGTTCCCCCCAATCCTCAGCTTCCCCCGAAACAAAGGCCAAAGTGAAGCTCTGCCTGCCCAGCCTCCCGTGCGCGCTCAGGGGACTCACCAACGCAGCGTCTGCCGTCTTCCTGCAGCTGGTAATTGTGCCGGCACCGGCACTGGTGCTGTGTCAGCGTCACCTGCACGCAGTCGTGTTCACAGCCACCGTTGTTCAGGGCACACGTGTTCACAGCTACAAGGCAAAGAGACAGAAAACTCATCACAAAAATAACGGCACCAGGATGAGCCTCTTGCACAGGACCAGGGTGAATCACACCGTGTGCTTACACAGAGCACTGCTGATGGGATTTAAAATTGGGGCATATTCAACCTGTGCTCAAGCGAGAAGGTCAAGGCAAACCTTTAAAGTGTGCTAAACACGAGCTGCTTCTGCAGAACTCTGTTCTGTACACGGTGCACGAGAGAGGCCACCCACTGCTGTGGCAGAGAGGGACCTTGGGCAGACCCTCGAGACACGGACACTTTCCTTTAGAGGTAAAACTGGCTCATCAGTGTCAGACAGCAGCTTAAAATCGCTCTTTTCTACGAGAAGAGCTCCCAGCAGCTCTCCTGGGAGATGAGAATGGGACCTGGAGGTCTGGGCTAAGTCCTACAGGACACGATGGGACAACCAGCAGGCTTCCTAACGAGCATCAGCGCTCTCCGAAGGGTGCCTGAGTCAGCGGGCAGGCTGCTCGGGCTGTGCTGTGGCTGAAATTCTCACAACTTTGTTCAAAACCAGTCTCTGCAGGTGCACGGCCACAGCCAGTTCAGCTTCATTACTGCTCAGGGAGAGCTGCACTCAGGCGGATTCAGGTTTTCCTGTAACAAAATAATGTTGAAAACTAAGTCTGAGGCTCCACGCTGTGCAAACAGGCGGTTGCACAGGGCAAGGCCCAGCAGGCACCATCGGTTCTTCTGGGAATAGTTAAGGGAAAATAGTTTAAGATGCATCCTGCACGTCTGCACTTCAATCGGGTTTAACAACCCCCAGCTCAGTGCTTTGACCAGGAGATTTGCTTAGGGATGTGGGTTAGTCATGGTTGAGGGGACTTGTCAGTGTTGGGTTAACGACTGGACTTGATGACCTTACAGATCTTCTCCAGTCATGGAAGCTGGGATGTGTGTGCTGGTCCAGGCCGTGAGTCACGGATGCTGTAACCAGCAGAGCGGCGGAGCCGGAGCGTGCGGAGACACGCTGACGGGAACTGCGATTTCATCCTCGGCGCAGGCGGGACTGGGAACTGAGATTCCCGACTGGTGCTCCTGGCCGTGCCACAGCGTTTCTGTGTGGCCTTGCGCAAGGCACTTTCCTGCCCAAAGGATTTCAAACAGTTGGAAAACAGAAGGTTTTTGCCTAGGCTACGGCAGAAAACAGATCTCATGACCAAACACGTGGACTATCTTCTCTTTACAAGCTTGCTATCATTAATCAGCCTTAGAACAGCCTCTCCTCCCCACTCTGTTCTCATAACCTGGGACTTCCCTGCAGGATAAGCAACACAAGCACGATGGTTAACTGGAGATGTGTGCACCTTGCAACCAGCCTGCTTATTTTTACCAGCTGCCTGGGACCACTCACCTTGCTGTATTCAGGAGAAATTTAAGGTACAAAACAAAGCGGGGAAGGACTTTCTAGAGAGGGATTCACAGACTGTGGTAGATAAGCCATCCTGGGGTAATTACATGCCTCCAAAGTGATTAAAGTCTCCTCTTATAGCATTGCATGTCTCCTGAGTTAGCCTACCTACTGCTTAATCAGTGAGCATCTCAAACAGAGACTGCTCCAAAGGGACTTGTCCCTTATGGGAATTGGGAGATTGGCCTTTCAAGTCTGTTCTTCCTCTTAGGACACACAAATATGTGTAAAACGCACAACACGCTGCACATCAAAGCTGTGTGGGTGCGACACAGTGAAAACCCAGCCGTGGTCTGGGATGGAAACCCAGAGCTGGTTTCCATGAGCAGAATGGCACAATGAGTTGTGGTCTCTCACATTTCTGACCTATTTTTCAAACTCCAGAATAAACTAATGTGCTGACTCTGAAGAATCTTATAAGAAAGCTAAAAATATCTCTAATGAGAAACATCTCTCCACAAACTAACACTTCAGGTAATCACAGTGCCCTCAACTTCCAGAGCCTGGCTAAGCAGGCGAGCCTGGGAAGCATCTGTTAGTAAAAATCTCTGTTTTAAATGAGGTTTGTGAATCCCAAGGGCAGCTGGGCCTGCTAGAGCCCGTGCCCGGGGTGAGCTGAGTGGGTGCACTGCAGGCTGCTCGCTCGTGCCGGCTCTGGACACGCTGGCGTTAGGTGGGCACCCAGCATCACTCTGCCAGCGCCTGCTCCCAGTCTGCAAAAGCAGATTTTCTACAGACAAAGCACTGGAAGTAATTTGATTAAGCTTCTCTTGTCTATTAGTGAAAAACAAATATTTGGCACAGGAGGAAAATAAAAGGCAAAACTGTATTTTTTTTTTTTCCCAGCAAATTGTTCCCCTGTAAAAAAGAGGAAAACTCAGAGCTGAGGAGCTCTGTCACTTTGAACTTCTAAAAACTAACTTCCCATTGTATGCCTCTAATTAACTGAACAACATTTAGGGGAATAAAAGGGAATTAATACAGGCAAAGTATTGCCATACATAGCATATGGCTGGAGCAAGAGCTATCAGTTTATATTAGTTGTGCTGATGTTGTTTCCTTTAATCCATTTGGAAGGAAACAACAGAAATACTCGACGTTCCTGAAAAGTTATGGGTCAGAGTTACAGTACTCAAGCTGTAGCAGAGATGGGTGGTCATTTTAAAATATTCTGATATATTAAAGCATTTAACAACATAAATTCAAAAATACTCATAAATAATGTGCTTGTTGGAGTGTGGGGTTTTTTTTTAAAAAAAAAGAAGTAAAACAATGCTAATGCCTGCCAAAACATTCCTCCTTATGGGAAAAGAACTGGGCCAACGTATGACGAGCCAACACATCTTATGTCTAAAATAACCTCCCAGTATGCAGTTATTTGTATGAATTTGCAGTCTCAATAACTGCCCTCCTTGCATACCTCTAAAACCCAAACTTTTCAGAGTGGAAAAAAAAATAAAGTCCAGGTTCTTCTTTATCATACAAATCCTGTAAAGTGGGCTACAGCAGACCAACTGGATACACCAGCACCAACTGGTGGGTGTGCAAGGACGGGGCTTTGCAATGGCAAAGCCTGTTCCTCGGAAGGCAGAGGAAGCTGCAGACACTGCACACGCACAGCAGCGCTGGCTGCTGCGAGCAGCTTGAGCAGCGTGTGGGCACCAACCAACAAGACTCACGTTCCTGTTCTGGTGGGTCCTCCTTGGCCAAGGGCTTTAAGCACAACCGAGCGCCAGAACCCCTGATGCTGATCTTGGCCGAGGCCATTTGCAGATCGCTAAGAGAGGGTAAGAAGTGAAGCAGTGAGGGCGCAGGGGTCCTGCAGAGCGTTGTCCTTCCCCTTGTGTTTCTTTTAGTAGGGTCTATGTGCCAGGAAATGTCCTCGTCAAGACTCATAACCCCATCTGAGGTGTGCTGACTGCTCGTGCTGCACTACGGTTTGCTGAGATAGGAACTTAATTCAATTGAAGAATTGAGAATAATAAGACAAAACCAATGAAATGTTACAATTATTTTGGGTGTCTTACCATGAAAGTGAGGGCCTTCTAACGCTGGGTCTCCTTAGCTGGCTTCTTGCAGGGTAACAGCCAGTAGACCTCACTGCTGGCCTTGTTTTAATTATTGCTCTTTTTCTTTTTCTTTTTTTCTGTTTACAGAACCACTCTAAAAATATTTCCATTCCCAGATGCTTTTCCTAGCTTAACATTTCTGTGACAACGTTGCCAAACCCAGTGTCATCTCGTACATCACACAGATTTTTGTAATTAAAGCTCAGACAGATTTTCCACAGATGATATTTCATCGTCTGCAAGAGGGAGGTTACTTCCAAGCCCTCTGTCTGAAGGGAGTGCAGCGCTGCTGAGAGATGCTAGCTCCTAGATTCTGACCTGGAAGTGTTGAAGGCCAGGTTGGATGAGGCTTTGAGCAACCTGGTCTAGTGGAAGGTGTCCCTCAACTCAAGCTTCTCCTCTTTCCCACCCGTATCACCTTTCCTGCAGATCCGGGTAACTGGCCCTCAGAAGCAGAGAGCTGACGCTTTACAAGTGACCACGAGCAGCTGTAACTGGAATTGCTCATCACATTCCCTTTGACAGCGTCACACAAAGCCATCAAGTCTGAGAAACAGCTGAGAAACACTTCACTGGACAAAGAAAAAGTCACATTTTCTAAAACACACAAGTTGTCTGTACAGTGCATGCCAATTAAAAACAGCTACAAAGCACACGCAGACCATCACCCTCTGCGCACGCAGTTCAAGTCCACGCAGACCTCTACAGCACTTTCTCTTCACTATATAAATCGCTGCTGTATTTGAGATTGCTTCATTTGAAGTATTCTGAATATAAATAGGGATACCTCATGTAATCCCAAACTGATTTATTCTAACCTCAGCCAATTCCAGAAACATGTTGTGTGTTAATCCAGACCATCTCCCTACTCTGCAGGCCAACAAAAGCAGTTGGCTCAGGCTGAATTCTCTGCCTTGGACTGGAGTTCATCCCTGCGCTGAAACAGTGGAGAAGGACCTGAAGATGTCAGCTTCCTGCCTCCTGCCCATGTGGTTCTGATAAAGAAAGAGGTAATTTCAGGACGTCCAATGACTCTTCTGACTTTCAATAGAAATGTCTGCTTATTTTCTCCCTCCCTTCTGGATTAAAGTCATCAGTGACTTGCTATATTTCAACAACAAAGAGGCAAGAACCTTGCACAGCCGAGCTGCAGATCACCCAAAGCACCAGCAGAGGTTGGGAGCTGCTGTGAGACAGAGCAGGACAGGGAAGGTGACTTTCAGCTGGTTTTTGTGTTCTCCTGCTCCAGAGCCACGGAGCAGTTCCGGGATCACATTAACCCTGGAGAGCCCAGGGCAGGCTCCGGACACCCCGGCTTTCCCACATCATAGCCCCAAGGTGTAAGATTGGCCTTGCCCTTGGCTTTCACCCCACTCCTGCACCACAAGGATCACCACGAGGCGTTTGGAGCTGGTGAGGATGGTGAGGGGCAGACACAGCTCTCGTGGAGGAAGGGACATTGAGGTGTGAGTGCGAGGGGACACCAGGAGCCCGCTGTCATTGACCACCCCTGATTCCCCAGCAATGTCAGAGATGGGATTGAAGAATCCCACTGGATTGGGCACAGAGTTGGGCTCTGCTTATGCTGTCAAAGGTACCAACACCCTCGAAGAAAAACACTTTTAAAGGCAGAATGCTTCTTCCAATCCTACAAAACACAAGTGCTAATGTGAACAGCCATCGACAGGGAACCACAATGAGCTTCACGGGAAATCGCTCTGAGAGGCACCTCAAGAACCTTCTGAAAACCTCTGCAGACCTTCCCTGCACTGTGCCTTGCTGCACCATCTGCAATACCAACCACTAAGCTGCCAACAGCTACCACGGGTGTAAAGCCATCAAGAGAAAGGAGCAACAGATTTTACCTGTTTTCCAATTCTTTCACATCTTCAGGAATAAAATAGGCTTTGATTTCCCACCACAAGCTTGGAATAATAGTCCAGCTGGAGGATGGAAAAGGACCCATCGCCCTGAGCCCACCCCCGGGAGCTGAGCCCCTCGCCCAGTCCCACACGCCCGGGGTTAACGGCCACCAGCCTCCGCGGGGGAACTCTGGAGCCTCCTGCTGCCAGTTAATTGAAGCCTTTGTGGGTTTTGTGGGGATCGGAAAACATTTAAAGAATTAAATTTGTGGTTTTACAGACCTTAACTAGAAACCTCATGGTAATAGTCTTTTTTCTGTCTCCAGGATGCTTCCTGGCCTGCACTGCTGCTCACAGGGCTGTCAGCAGCTTCCAAAGCCCATCCCCGTACCTGACCCTGCTCTAAGCCCCCATCCTGCTCGCAGCCCCAGCTCACAGCACCAGCAGTGACATCCCCTGGCCCTCAGGGCAGAGCAGCTCTGGAGCAGAGGGAGAGTCTCGCTGTCTCCACTCCTCTTTATTCCTAACCTATTCCTTTTATTTAGTGGCATTTTTTTTCTGTGTTAGCAGCACTGAATCTTACCTGCCCGCATGCTGCCTGCACCCCGCAAGCCCTGCCTGGCAACTCAGCAAGAACACTGGCTTAATAAAAACCATGTGATTTCCCAGATCAAGTCAGAGCAAAGCCTGTGACTTTGCAGTGTAAATATTTATGTAGACCGAGCACTAAAGGAAAGAACCACTTGTATAGCTTGTGAAAACACCACAGAGAGCGAGCGCACGCTCAAGGGCTGGGGACCACGCAAAGTGACCCAGGGAGCCACCCAGCTGGACCTCACACCGCTGCCAGGCTGGTGAGCTCACTGCCCGAGCATCATCAATGACCAAGAGAGTGCAACAACCCAACCCAGGGCGAGAACATCCCCTTGGTGGCATCTCCTTGTTGTTATCTCCTCAGTAGCATCCCCATGGTGGCATCCCCATTGTCACCAGCCACGGTGCTCCCCTCGCCTGGGCTCTGCTGTGGGGTGGGCTTGTTCCAAGGGCACAAATATGAGTAATTACACAAATGAGAGTTGTGTGAACTCCAACCCTGTCACACCAGGCTGCTGTGCATGCCACGTGCCACCAGCAGCCATGGGCTCCAGCACCAAGAACCACCATAGAGGACAGAAAGCTGTTTGCCAGGGAACAAGCACCAATTGTGGCACATGGGTCTGTGGGTACAGAGAGAGCAGCCACAAACACCGGCAGAGGAGTTACCTTCAAGTTTGTGCTCTGTTCTCAGCTTTTACAGGAAAAATAAGTTTACTTCCACCCCTCTATGCAACTGGCTTAATAGCTTAGCACAGAGCTATCAGGAAGGTGTGATATAGAGATAGATAAATATATATACACACACACATGCACATTTTTGTCACAAAAGTGTAAAGAACAAAAGCCACCAGCCCTGAAGTGAGAAAACCAGATTTTTAGGTCTGCTCTGTTGTTATTTTAGAACCAGTATGGGACACAGCAAGAGCTCTCACTCGCCCTGCCTGGTCTGCATCTACTTTCCTGTGCGCTTTGTGGCTCACAGGGGTCCAGGCACCGCTGAACTCACAGCAGATCCTGCCAGCTCCGCTCCCCAGAGCTCCCAGAAACTGCCCGAGTTTCTCCTGTGGTAGATCAGGTTTCATGAACAGAGACCCCTTCTCTGGTTTTGGCAGATGAATTCCAACACCGTGCACGTTATGGCAAAGACTCGCTCCCAAGTTTAATGCAAAGCAGGCTGGCATTGCTCAGTGTGAGCAGCGTGGAGCAGGGCAGCCCTCCTGCATCCCAGCAGATCCCTGCACACCACAGCCACACCACCAGGTAATCCTGGGCAAGGAAAACAAAGGATGGAAATGGCTTTTAAACAAGAGATTCCTCCCTATACAGATCCCTTTTATACTTTCTCTGGAAATTGTTTCACCTTCTGGGGCTGACCCTGCTGAGAACACCAGAGCTTCCCCTCGGCTGGAGCATGTTTTATTCTCTGAGGCAGAATCATTCTATACCACACAAAAGAAAACCAAACCCAGAACTCCACACTATAAAGCCAGTTTTTGCTGACAGACCACATACACACTTACAGGCAAACAGAAGCAGTGCACAGCCACGAGCACAAGTTCACGTGTCAGAGCTAGAGCAGGGCTGGGACTTTGGGCTTTTTTCTTAATTTAAAACCCTTTTGCTTGTGGATTTTTCGAGCAGCACTCGGTGAACTTGCACCTCAAGCACAGGTCTCACTGCTCTTGTTGGAGAATCCTCACACGGTGGGGGAAGCTGTGGACAAGATGTGCAGTTTGTGCTGCTCTGGGTATGCTGGGTACCATGTCCTTAGATGGTTTTTCTTCTGCTCATGTCACCATTCCCAAGTGGTACACACAGGCTCACACAGTCATTTTTAGAAAACTTTGGAACGTGACTATATTCTGAGAGAAACCAGCAAATGGCCTTTGAAATACCATCACCCAGGAATTCTTTCCACTTGTATGAAAATATCCCTCAAAAAATGGAAAAATGTGTCAAATAAAGCTGTGAGGGAGAAGTGGTTTAATAAAAGCAGCAGCAGATGCTGGAAGGCAGACTCCAAGCTCCAACCCAGTGTCTCTCAGCCTCTAGTTTGGGGCAGGCAAACAACAATATTTCAAGAAACTGGCTCAGAAATCAACTGCCAGCCAGACCTGGCATCTGAATTGTCATGTCTGGACAGGCACCATCCAAGCAGACACACGACCAACACCCCAGGGCAGAGGGTTTTGAAATTATTATAGCCACAGTTCCACACAGTCACACCCAGTGCCAACCATGTGGCCTAGGGAAATAGTTGAAGTACAAATGAAGACTGACTCGAACATAGTTCATAACCTAGTTTATATATTTGTTCTGAAAATGCCACCTCTGATACACTTGGTATCAAAAGCACAAGCACCAAAGCACTGGAAGTTGCTTCTCCTGAACCAGAATAATCTAAGGAACAGCAAAGGAGTCTAAACTTGCTGTGTCCGCACCAAAGAACAGCAAATGTCACAAACCCAGTAATAAAAACACATCAGGGAACACAACCAGGATCCTGAGAAACAAAGGAACAGGCAATCCATCCCTGTCATCTCAAGGTGATGGGACAGATGGCACAGAGGAGGGACGTGAGTGGGGAAAGCCAACACAGGCGTTTTGTGTGCACTGCCCGGCATGTGCCGGTACGAAACAGACTATGAAGAATTGGAGAATCTCAAGAAATTGAAACCTGTGACTTACCAATGCAGGTCCTGCCATCTGTGTGCAGGCGAAAGCCTGGCTTGCACTCACAGTAATAAGATCCAAGGGTGTTCACACATCTGTGCTGGCAGCCCCCGTTGTGGACCTGGCACTCATCGACATCTGCAAAAGAAAAGGGAAGAAAAGTTCAGAGGAGTGGGCACGGCAGGGTCTGAAGTCAGGATTATTGATCTTCTGTTGACTGACTCCAGTTTTGAGGAGCAAATGCGGCAGGAACAAGATTGCCATTTCATTACGTTTAATCAGCCAAGCCATTTAAGAAATTTGAAGGACAAGCATGCAATCAGGGGGGGAAAAAAAAAGCATCTTGTCAATCAGCATAAACCATCCTTCATGTCGCTCACCTCACAGCGGTCACTTTTCCCATTTGCTCTACGATTATGGATTTATTAAAATTTTACACTTCCTAACACTTTATGTACTGAAAATAGGCTGGGCCAGTCCGTTTGTTACTTCCATACCCACATGAACGGTGAGAGCAACCACCAAACGCCCCAGACCGGGGCGAGGGGAGCGACACGCCGAGCAAAGCCCAGCGCCTGGAGCCACAGCAGCCGGTGTCCTCATCCTGCCAACTCAGCCTCGTCCTCTCACAGCACAGAATCTGGCTCCCCAGGAGCTCAGCCACGTGCCAAAGGTGAGAAGCTTTATTGTCCTGCTTCTCATCTCAGTACCTGGCAAAGTGTTTAACACATTTCACACCATTTACACCTGGAACTCACTGGACCTGCCGCTGAAATGCAGGTGGTAAGCTGTGCTCGGGATGGCTGCAGACAAGAAAACACGATAATACCTGGAGAAAGTTCTTACAAAAGATCAGTTGTATGACTAGCAAGGATTTGTTCATAATTATATGACACTTAAGAACATGGTGAAGTCCAACTGAACCCCCAAATACACCAGGCAGACTACAACCAGTGAGACTCTGACCGCAGCTCCCCAGCCCTCTGCTCCCAGCTCCACGGGCAGAGCAAACCCCGGAGAAGTGAGGCAGCCGTTCCTCCAACGAGGAATCCACTTGGCCAATAAAACGGTGCAAGCCCATTTCTCTTGGTAAAACTGCAGGCCCTCCAACAAAAGGCAGTCTCTGAGCCAGGAAAATCATCTGAGAAATCCTTCAAGAGCTGAGATGGGACCTAGCCCATGACTTCTTGGTAGAAAAATCCTGTTACATTTTACTCCCAAAGCTTCAAAAGCAGGGAGGTAGGCAGCAGCATGTTATGGAAAGGGAGCTTCATTCCTGTTCCACAGATCTTAAATTGCCTTTAAGCTCTGGGAATAACTTCCAGAACTAAGGAGAAATGTAAAAATGTTGGGAGTGCCCAGCGACATGGTGCTAACTAAGATGTGTATCAGAAGCTTGTCAAAGGCAATTTCAAGTTTCTGAGACACAAGGCTGTGTCATGTGGCTGCAATTAGAAAGAACAGGGATGTCTGTGGATGGAGCTGTACAGTTCCTTGATTCCTGCCATCTGTGTGTGTGTGCACACGGGTACCCGTACGCTGCCTTCCAGACGGGAAAGGATCAAAGATCTCTAGTCAGGTGAGGGATCCAGATCACATTCACGCTAACAACAAGAAATCCAACCAGCAATTCCCTTTTAATGGATAGAAAACGTCAGTAGCTTTGGGTCTGTCCCTGTTTCTAGGCACTTTCTGTGTTTTGTGAAGACGTCCTGAGCACGCACAACTATTTCCCGCTGGCACGGCGGAGCCGGTCACGCAAGCAGCAGGCCGCTACGGAGCCAAGCCGAGCAGTGAACCAGCACGGTTTCATCCATGACTGTTACTAATAAGATAAAGAAACATTTCCTCAATGAATCACGGCAGGGTGTGGCTCCCGACTCTGTCTTTGCAAGCCAGCGGCTCAAAAACCAGCTGGATCCTCCCCCTTGCCCAGCGCCCGCGATCCACTCCTCCCTGGTCGCAGCTACAGCTCTCACTGGGGAGGCAAAGAGCATCGAAAACCACAGGAAAAGGAGAAATGCCACCTTGACTGAAGCTAAAATTTTATATTAATTGGCATCTGATTCATTGCCAACAAACTCAGCCAGCAAAGGGGCTGGGTCAGGGAAGAAGCGGGGAGCCAAGCAGGAAAGTGATGCTTGTTCAGCTCCATGTTCCTGAGCTGTACACACACCAATAATACAAACGTGGGTTTCCTCAGAATACTTTTCATTAGAAGGCTTCTCGCTGCTCACAGAGTTAAACCCTAAGGATCAGAGAACATGAAAATGGCCCTCTGCCCTCTCTGTCCTGGTGATGTCCAGTGGACCCTCATCCTGACTTCTGCTGTCCTGCTGTGACGCCACACAAGGCTCTTCAGAGCTCCAGTCGTCATTAACCCTGCAGGAAATTATGATTTCTGCAATGCCAGTGGACTGTAAATTCCTCCTCTGGGCATTTTAGAAAGCTTAGGTAATTTCTTCCTGTTTTTTCCAATAGACTTAATTTTTAAATAAAGGAAAATGACTAGATTTTTGAAGTGAAACATAAGCTTTAAGTGATGCTCTGCAAAGAGTAACCCAAATCCAAACCAGCTTTTCAGGGAGGAAAAAAAAAAAAACCAAAACAACTGTGGCATGAATCTGAGATGCCTGTCGACCAACCTCGCTCAAGTTAAATCAGTTTCTTCTGCAAAGGCTTTACACAGTGTGGATGCTGCAGAGCTTCCCAGCAGGGCAGGGCCGGGACGCGTTTCATACTTTGCATTTCTGCTACTTCTTTTTTTTCTACATCTCTCTGGTCAGAATTAGCTATTAATACACAGAACTGGCTCTATTCAGCTCCAGAACAGGAAAATTGGGGTTTGGGAAGATTTTACAGAGTAATAAAGTTTTTTTTGGTCCGAATTTAAATGACTATTCCACTGCTTCCCTTCAACTCTAATGTGAAACTGTGGAGAATTTACCATCCAAAAAAGTCAGCCATGTGTTGAATAAACCTCTTCCTTTCACCTCATTACTCACACTCAGTAATTACACATCTCCTCTCTAAATATCTCTTATTCCCTCTCTGTATTTTTCACCCTCTCAGTCTCTGTAATGACACAGGGTTGTCCCCACCCCAAAGCCCCCTCTGCCCCATCCCACCTTGCCCTGGGGGAGCGGTCAGTCCTTCCTGGCACCCTGGCTGCAGAAACGCCCGTCACCATCACCGTGCCGCTTCCCACCCAACCTGCCACGTCCTGTTTTCCCTCCTGGAGCCTCGCTCATCTCCTCCTGCAGTAACAGAGAGACTCTTGGATGTGTAATACATGATGGTGTGACCAAAATAAACCCTCCATCCTCAGCACCCCTGACGCGAGGGCAGCAGGGTCATCCCCCCAAGCAATCTTAGGTTTGTGTCTTTGGAAATAACGCAACTGCGCAATTTGCCCAAACAAATTCAAACTCTGGTGTGAGTGCACAAAGAGGCACCTCCTGGGTGGATGCATTTTCTGGTGGGGATCTGTTGCTTTTGATCCTCAGACTGCAGAGTCATGGGCTGTGGCTGCTGCAGCAGCTGCACGAACACTCACAGAGGGGGAGAGGAGCAGGAGCTCGCTCCCAGCGGGGTGAAATCGCAGGGCTTCTCCTGGTTTGACCTGAAATGCATCACTCAAGAGAAGGAACCACAATGATGGTGTGTTGGAGCCCACTCTAGATTGGAGAGGACGGCTCCAGGCCATCGTTCCAGCTCTGGGCAGCCCTTGCCAAGCTGTGCCCGAGCACCAGGGTCCATCCTGCAGCCCAGGATTGCTCTCCCACACGCCGGGACACTGGAGTAGGGAGGGAGGAAGGTGGGAAGAGCTGTGTTTCCCAGCAGAGCCCATGATGGAGGACGGGTGACGCACTGGCCCGGGGGCAGGTCTACTGGTCACCTCCAGCAGCAGCAGCTCTGGCCTGTCCAGGCGTGTGCAGGGCTGGCCTGGGAGTGATTCACCCAGGAATATAAACCATGAGGCAGCAGGAGCCACCTCCCAGGGCCAGGACAGCATCGCTGTGAAGGGTCACGCTGTCCTCGGCGCACGTCTTGGCAGTACAAAGACCTGAAAATCTACGTGCCGCTTTGTGAGATGCGGTTTGTGGCACACTGAGGTTATTTTCCTATTGGAGAGCTGACAAAATCTGGTTGAAATTAATATACCAAAGAAAGAAAATTAAAAACATACAGGCTTCTCTTCCGAGGCGGGTAGCTGACACTGAGCAACCCCGAGCCGTGCCAGGATGGAGCGTGCCAAGCCCATGTGCTGCATGCTGCGCCGTGCCGGCACGGACAGAGCAGCGGGTACCGGCCAAAGCCCACCGAGGCAGGCATGAAAACCAAACACAGCCAGAGATGGGAGTGGGACTTGGCTTGTTGGGTAGAGAAACCTCCTGCTGCGTAAGGAAACCGGAGCTCATGTCCTTATCCACTCACCAGAGAAACAGCTGATGCACTCGTCAGCCTCTTCCCCAAACAGGAACCATCCATCGGGCCTCAGATACCGGCTACGTGGCCAACAGGGCCAAGGCTGCCATCAAACGTGGGAAAGAGGAACAAAGACCGAAGAAAGGAGGAGGGTGTGAGGAGATGACTTTGGTTAAGTGACTCCCTGACCATGCACAGGTCCTTCGAGAAGAAATCCTACGATTTATCTCCAACAAGAGCTCCGTGTCAGAGCAAAGAAAGTGGCAACAGCAGCTCTGCAAATTAATAAATATTTGGTACAGAGCAGTTTATCTCCTCTGAAAGGCTGAGGAGGAGAAGATGGATCCCAGCTGGAAGCACAGGCAGCAGATACACGGCTCAGGTTCGCTCTATCTGAGCAGTGCCAGGCTTTAAACCCTGTGGCAATTAGCCTGGATTACAGAGCAGGGCTGCAGGGAAAACGTTAATTAAAATCCATCCAGATGAGCATGTGTGGGATTTAGCGACTTTATCTTTCCAGTACCAGTTTGTTGAAGCTAATTCAGCAATTCTGAAGAAGTAAAGAGACTGGAAGGAGAGGAACCAACAGAGCCACGTGCTGGATGGCCCAAGCTGAATGTTACTGGGTAGAGGAGCACAGTGTTACTGCCACTGCCCCACGGCTTCGAACCTCGGGGTGCAGAACAGTGCCGGGATGTGTTAGAAGGAAA